GTGTTGGCAGCCCACACATCAGCTGAGGATACTTGCCCACTTTTATCAGCACCCACTTGTTATTTTTCTATCTGCCCCACACGGTCCATTCCACTATGAAGTTCAATGCTAATAAATTCTGTGGTTGTGAGCACTTCAAACTTGTACCCCTTTTACTCCAGTCTGATGATAATGTACTACTATGTTAGGTTGACATTGAAACTGCCTACACTGCCTATCAATTGATTTCCATTCTTAGCAGGCCAATAGAGGAAATAATCAATAATTTGCTGAAGGAGTATCCCAAGCTAACATTTCAGCTGGACAGAGGAAGGTTATTTAATGAATTTATGGTCAATATCTAGCAAGTAGACGCTTTCAGGGCTGCTGCTGACCAATGCTTTTCTACTAGAAAAAAAATTGCAATCAACATGGACTGACCATTCCATCACATCTTTGCATTCCTATTGACCATAACATTGATGGGATAATGGATAGCACAAGTTTTGGGGGTCAGAATTTGTGGCAAAGCCCAACCAAACCAGTTGGCTGCATTTATATCCAATGAAGGAAAATGACATAGATGACCCTGAATCTGTCTGTTGTTACAACTATGGTAATATATTAATCCTTAAAAATCATGCACAACACTTAATTAAACTCAGAATTGTGAAGGAAGGGCAGAAAAATAAAACCTTTGAGCTTGCACCAGAAAAGGTGTTTAATGTTGAAAATGACATCCCTATTCCAGAAAGAACTTAACTTTGATCCATGAACCAAATTAGTAAATCAATACTGGCTTCATGATCTCAATCTTGCTTGATGTGATGAGATGCTTTTGTGACTAAACATCTGCCGTTGGAACTGCTAGTGGTGCACATGCAATAATAAGTAGATAGTTTGACCACACATCCATGAGAAGAAGATCAAGATAAATTCAGTGAATATATGTAGTTTGATTTTTTCATGGATTGGAAGTTAAATTAAAGAATGATTTGATATGTTTAAAAATCACACATGTGAAAGAATTTTGTACGCAGCCTTGTTTTTTTATTCACCAAGGCCTTTTAGGATATGTGAGAGCCTTGTGAAAATTAATTGTTACCCAGGGTTGGATGGGCTGGGAGGGCAGTGATGATTTGATTTGATTGATTGAACATTTTACAGTTCCCCCCTTTTTTTAGGGGATTTTATCCTGAGAATACTCTTGAAAAGGTATGAATTTTCCCAAACAAATGACTCCCCATGGGGCCCCTGGTTATGAATTTGGCCAAAATCTGGACTTTTTTCAACACCTCCCTATCCTAGGGCTTGCCAGGATCCTACCCCAAAAATGTAGTTCAAGATAAGCACCACCCAATCCCGACCTCCCACTCAGGGAAGACTTTGTTAAGTTAGTAAATTTACTTTGTGGAAGGACAAGAACCAGTAAAAGAAAGTACGTGAATGGAATTTAAACATGTGTGGCCCTTCATAATATCTAACACAAACCTTCAGAAACACCCTCTGGGTCCAGAAGCATCTCTGTCTCTGAGACCAATTCCCACAGAGAAGAGACACGGACTGCTTGGGTTAACTTTTTTCTTTCAGGCATGGTTAAATGGTCCATTGAAACTCACAGATTTTACTCTAAACCAACTCAACAGTGTTAAATATTTAGCTTAGTGAAACCTGCTACCAAACTTGGTTTGGCATAAGCTTTATCACTAAGAATACTACCTGGAACATTACATAGTTTCACCGGCTTGTTATCCCCTGGGGCATGTTTGATCCTTACATATCCACCTCAGAGTTTCTTGAGCTTTAGAATTCCCTGCCCTAGTCTTAGGAAGACTTTTCAATTCTTCAGGAGATATTTAAGCCACAAATTATTTGATTATAATGTTAAAACTTCTTTCAATCTCTTTCTACTTTGCTTTCTGCTTTGTCCACAGTTAGACTAATATGTCCACCACATTATTAAAAGAATCACAAAACCTGACATCATAAGCTCCTCTAGAAAATATTCAGAAAAGGAGAGACTGTTAAGTTTGATCTTCAATCAATTGGTGAAAGTTTGCCACCATGGAGGCTTTTTTACTTGAGCTCCCAATTCTGTTTTCTTTTCTGGGATACATATTCTGAAACAATAAACTGAGGTGTTGGATTATGAAGATTTAGGAGGCTGAAGGAGGATGTAAAGTTTGAATTGCAGGAGTGTTACTTTTGTGCAAAGGGATGACTTATTTGGTGATGATGTTTCAAAAAGAGGTTTCTAAGTCCGTTGTGAGTTCACCCAATTATCAAAATCTTATTAAAAGAAGCTTGCAAGCTTTTCAATAAGATTGTGAGTGGGAGGCATAATTTTCCTTTTGAGATCAATGTGATTGATCAAGACTGGTGTATTTCTTATTCATTTTTGGTTCACAAACTCTTAGGCCAATTTAATATGCTCAATTTGTGCAAACAAGGTACTAAATTCACGATGAATAAAGAAGTGGCCAATAAATACCAATGAGTGACATCAGTACAAAAAGAATGGAGAAAAAAAGGATCTGGAGAGACAGGCTGCAGCACAAGCAAAATATCTAAAAAGTTTATACATGTTGGATGGTAGTACTAGTTCAAACTATCTACCTAGTTGTGTATATTCTTTGGTACTGATGACATATTTTGACTGGAAAAATCCTCTTGTGACATTGGTTAAAACTAATATTACCAGGTCAGAAATCTTCCCATCTTGGTTTATCAAGAAATAGAAATGACTTTTAAAGTTAAATTTTCTGTGTTGAGAACGTCTCTCACATCATGTTGGCCACCTGGTTCAAGGCTAAAGATGTCTTTTTGATAAATTCCCTTCACGGCTTTGAGGTGGACTGATTTTTGCCCATCGTTTATAACCCTCCATTGCCTGTTACCGTCAGGAACGTAACAAGTGATAGTATCGTAGGGTTCGTCCCCATCTGTATATAGACGTATCTCATTGGTTTGATGGGGATATCCTACCAATTCCCCTTTTAAAACTTGAGCTATTGATTGGCACATGAAATTGATGGTCAGTAGGACCGCAAATGGAAGATGAAACAGAGATTTCATGTTGAGCAGGGTTTCATGTAGATGCAATTGTTTTCTAGCAGAAAGGTTGCAGTCAGCGATGGCGTTCGAAGCCCTCAACTAGCTAGGTATTGACCAGAAGTTAATGAACTAACCTTCCTCTTTCCGCTTGAAATTTTACAATTTTGAAGTTGTGATGGTCTCTCAGTAAAGTGTTGAATATTTTCTCTATGGGCCTGCTCAGAATAGCCACCGATCAATCACAAGTGCAGACAACTTCAACATTAGCCTCAAATATTTAGTAGTTCATCATCATGAGCCTAAAGTGAAATTGGTGTAAGGTTGAGGTGCTCACTACCGCAGAATTTCTTATCAGGTCAACCTACAAGCTCGTGAGGAATGTGAAAGAGGCGAGCAAGCGATAAAGAGGCTAAAGGAGTTGCCTCTTATGAATTGTTCAGACAGCAGTGCAGCTCTCCTTCCAACACACGAGCTGACACAAAATGTCATGTATGATTTATGAAAGTGCAGCAGCAGGGTCGAGTTCTGCTTATGGTACAATGAACTGCGTCCCCTCGACAGCTCATCAGCGCTATATACGTCCACAAACATGTCTACAAAGGTGGGACAGAAACCTATTGAATTCCCTTGGTAGCATAACAAGTACCGGGTCCTGCCGGTACAACACTAGACAAGTCATGGCCCGTTGTACAGCCAAAAGGCGGGACGGAAACCTAAACCCCGCTGGTGGCAGGACAAGTACCGGGTCCTACCGGCACAGGAATCGACAAATGGGTACATAGCTCGTCGTACTGCTTTCATGACCTCCAGGTTACGGCTGAAGTTTGAACGGTTGAGGATGTGTGTCATAAGGAATCGGTAGCTGGGTGCCATTTGCCACGAAACCGGGTGTCAATCTTCCTTTCAATTGCTCAGTTTCGCATTCCTTTTTTTGTGTTCCATCTGGTCTGACCGCCCCGTTCTATAAAATTACATCAGGCCGCCTTTTTTTGTTGTCATTTTCCTTAGCTCGCGATCACGCCAACAGCTGTTTGCATTCTGTTTTTGCCTTGGCTGGCTCAGACTGTTTCGAGCAGAGTTAAGCCTTGAACCAAATTACTTCTGTAGGGTAATGGTAAATCCTAGTGATTGAATTGAAAAGCAGGTATTTACGCCAATGAGATGTTGATGGGTGAATTTGCCTTGTCGGTGTCTACATAGACAGCGGCACAGTTCTGACCATATCACATCAGCTGAAACAAAATAGCTGCCTACATACTTCACTGGTGGATCACTTCGCTAAATCCTTGAAGTATTTCGATTCAACTACCGGGCTTACCTATCCGAAGCGCCTGCGTTCTTTCGACAATTCCTGCAATGTTGTACAGCGATCGTATTCATAGCCACTAGTCACCACCGTACCTGAAAAGGTGGCAGGAAAGTGTTCATTCCGTTTGTAGCAGGACAAGTACCGGCACAAGCCGGGACAGGAATGGTCACGTGGGTGACTCGCAAGTACCGGCACAAACCGGTACAGAAATGCCCACATGGGTGACCCGCTGTACTGCTCTCATGACCTGAAGTTGAGCGATCGAGGCCCGCATGGGAGTATCTGAGTGCCGCACTGCCATCTCCCACGAACCCAGTGGCGATCTTCCTACCTATTGTTCATTTATACACTCATCAAGTTGTGTTGCGTCTCTGGGCTCAAAAAGTCTCGGTATGGCGATTTCAAGAGTTGGTGACTGAATAGATATCTACGTAGGGTTCATGATAATGGATGAATTCCTCAATCATGAGCTGATTGGCAACTTGGAGTTCGCAGCTGTATTTGACAAAAAGCGAGTGGAATATATTCTGATTTGATTGCTGGATCCACATTTACATATTCTTGATGAGAGAGATGGCTGAATTGAAGAAAGCTTGACTCTCTGGATTACGATATTGATGATGATAATCGGGAAGTTTTGACAATGCCTTTGTAAGGATTAGTTGTTGGCCGACTCGTTGCTCTTGGGGAAATTCCTAAAATCCGAGTTAAATGCCTCCAATAACCTTTTCACTTTCTTCTCACCCAAGCCAGGGCATAGCGAAAGTTCACTCGGCGAGGCCTCAACAATTTGACGAAACGACTGAAAGAGGGTGTCAAATATAAAACGGGGTTATCAACTTTATAATCGGTTGATGCGAAAAGGTGGGATATCTTGAGCTTGCTTGCTTACCCGAAAGTTCGTGGCCAGAGTCATAACATCGGTCTTGTTCAACCCTCTGATGGTCGTCAATACGCTCGTCAATTGAGACATATAATCGTTGTCGATCTTCTCTTTGATCAGATCAGGTGATCTCTTCTCAAACGATTTAAATAGCTGAATGTATCTTGCAATCTCTGCATTGGACCATGCAACTATTAAAGTAAACTCATTAACCATACATGTCTGTGACAATCCCGAAAAAAACAAAGCCAGATCTGCATCAGCGCTTTTGTTTAAACATGTTCTGCAAAATCATCTCGATAGGAGAAGACAAGGACGAAATGAACTTACTTTAGTTATATCTTTCAAAACAACTTCATGATCATTAGAATCACAAAGACATAGTAAGATCTTAAGATCATAGGCTTTGATCAACTTCTTCAATCGGGTGTCCAAGTAATCCGGATGTAGCCTGTGATATTTTAAGGATAAGAATAACGAGCCGGTGGTTTGATTGAGTTGATAATCTGAGATAGTTTCTCCGAACTCCCAAGGGACCGATTTGATTAAAGTCAACACTGGATTTCCTCGCTGTTTGTATTGTTCATCGATCCGTAGTACGATGCCAAAGCAGAGAATAGTCCTTCAACCACCACTCGTTCTTTTGAGGCTTAGTAGAACAGCTGCTCAATGAAAGTACGATTGGGGACAGACTTGGCATTTGTTAACGATTATATTATTCGAGTTTGCAGGGCGGTTGGGAGCCACAGGACGATTCTGAATGTCATTGGCAGGGGGGATACTGCTAGATGACTTCGAGGCTCCAATGGAAGTGGATGCTGATGTTGTTGACGGCTGGGTTGGGGCTGATGGGGCGTTGGTGAGTTGGTTGTTCTTGTTGACAAACGGCATCGCTAGAAGTACAGATTGTGAAATTTAATTTCTTTTTGAAATTGTAAATTCTTGAGGAGACAACAGGCTGAAGACGCGCCCCACTACCCATCAGCCCCGGCTTGATCGGGAAGCCCTGCGTAGCCTCCGGGGTAGACGGGGGTTCTGCATCAAAACAGTGGTTGGTCACCCCATTATAATTTAGGTAGTAACATTTATCCATAACAATCATCGCAAAATTCAGAATAAGAGTTGGATGCTGCGAGAAATCAATATTAGCTTCCTGGCTTTGGGACACTGACACAGGAATAACAGATTATGCAGGTCTACATGTTTAGGTTCCTCTGCATTCAATCCATTCATTCAGATTCCAATGAAGCCTTCTTCCGAGTCCCCACTAGCATATTAAAAGGCCCAAATCACTGCCCAGAGGGAAACATCTTTCAGATCTGCACATGATTAGCCTCAAGCCAACTAGATTGGCATTTCGAAATGACAGAAGCCATGTTAAGCTTTCATTGAGGAACAGCTCTGATTTTCGTGAATGGCAGCTTTAATTGCTTAGAATTTATAATCAATGTGAATGCCAAGGCACTTGCAGAAATACAAAACAAAATCCACGAGAATCATCAATATTTTTAATATTTGGCAGACACACGCTTCACAACTGAGTGAGAGCACTGGAGGAGCCAGACTCGGAGGACGCATAGAAGCTGGCTTGTTAAGTAGATTTGGCGAGTTGACAACCAGTACATGCTGATGTTGTCAGACAGATGTTGGGGTGTGTTAGCTCAGCGATGATCGTACTCTGATGTTGTCGCCCTGGAGTGAAAAAAGGGTAAATAACTTACAGGCAGACTTATGGCTGGATGTACCTCCAGAACATATGTGCGAGTGTCTGAGTTCATCTGTACAACCTGCTCATTTTTGTTTCAAGTAGGGACGGTAATGTCGTGATCAGCATATCGCTAACTTCCGGGAGCGTTGTCTCAAAGCCATAAGCTTACGAGATTTGTTCTTATCACTCGCTTCGAATAAGCTAAATGATACTTGGCAGTCGACGGAATCAGGATCCTGTTGCTCATTTCCACTTAATCGGCAACCATGAGCAGCTGAAAGCCAGGCACTCGAAATCAGCACCTGCAGAAATCAAACCAATGAGAACAAAATAGTTTTGGGTGCTTACTGATGGAACCGGTGCATGTCCCACACTTCCAAGCCGTATCGTTTTTATCTGTGCACACTTTTAAAACAGAGGCAATGTCCAGGCGATATTGATACAAGGCAAAATTCAGTCCGCGGGTCGTCATTGACTTGGGCATGTGGAGGTATGCTTGATCGGACCCTCACCCTTGGAACTCCCAGAGAAATCGTAAGAAGCGCATTGGACGATCCCGCGGGCTTTGCTAGCACTCGTCTTGCTGAGGCCGAAGAGTGAACAGTTAAGGGTGATAAGGATCACGAGAATAGTCTTCATGGTGTCAGGTAAGTCTTAGGTATGAAGATTGCGGGGGCTTGGATGTTTGGAGAAATATGGATGTAAGCGTGTGGTGGCTGAGTGGCTCCGAAGACTTGGGGGAAGGAATTATGATGGTGCGGGATCACACCTGGTGAATGGACCATCATGACTTGATGCGCGACACGGCTTCCAAGGAAAATGCTCGAGAGCTCTCAGCTCTCGAAAGTCATGTGCTCGTGCGGACTTCCCATGCCTTCCATATAGTCATTGTCAAACGATGATTCATATTGAAGACATCCTGAGATATCTGTATGTAAATGGAATAGTTGAAGGAAAAGACTAAAAAAGTATTCATGGCCCAAATTCTCATCTGTACTTTCACATGAAAAGGTGGATGATTCAGTTGAAAAGAAAGATTTGTTACCCTTTTCGATCTGTAGTAGGAAACTCATCTTTTGAACCTTTTGAGATGAAGGACAAACTTTGTAAAGGTTGAAGGTTGTCAAAATGGTCCATCCAACATGTTTTCCAAGAAAAATTCAAACAATTCTTTTCCACATTTTTGAGCCAGATCTGGCCATTCTACAGCTAACCAAGAAAGGCTTGCAACTTTTGTTTGCAAAAAAGAAAAATAAAATCCACTGGGATTTTTTTTGGTGCAATGCTGCCTGCAGCATATTCTTACCAAGAAGAAAAAAAGAACTTTGGTTTTGCAAAGGTTGACTACAGGCCAAAGTGAAATATGTTCCTCTTAGAAAGAATCATGATGAATTTGTCAATTAGCTAGGGATTGTTCAACTCATATTGCCAATTTATTTCTTCCATTAGGTTGTTATATCATCTTAAATGCCCTTTTATGAGGAGGGAGAGAGGCAGAAAGGGAAGGCAGAAAGCTTGTCTTGATACAACTGGGTTCCCAATTGAGATAAATTCAACATGATTGGAAGACACTTCCTAAAAATTTCCATAACCCAACAGGTATTGGCAATTATACACAAAGGAGGGCCAGCATAAAATCAAGATTTTTATTATACTTGAAGATGGATTTTGACGGGATTTGAGGATCTAACCTGTTTTTTGGTGACTAATGCTTTATATTCTTCACAAAAGACAGTATTTAATACTTCTGGGAGAAACCCCTTTGGTCTCGCAAGCTTTCCAGCGTTGATGTCCTTGATTCGCCTATCAACCATCCTCAGAAGATTGTCCATTTCCCATGGATTTGTCCCTGCAGGAGATTTTGCAAAACTGATCGGATCAAAATCCAGAATCTGAAAAAATTCCACAAGCTTTGTCTTGAAATCAACAGGGCAACCAGTAAGATGCGGCAAAGTTCCCATGGTACCAAACATAGCTAGGGGATTTCGAGGGTTGATGTAGTGTACCCAGAGGTTTTCGTCCCAGAAAGATGCGGACTCCTTGTGGATTCTTTCTCTTATATTCTCCATATCTGAATGGGGAGGGTTGATCAATCGAGTCTTTTGTTTTAATCTATTCAGGATGGTCATCACGCGCGACGAGGAAAGGATTTGATTTTCAGGTAGGTCGGCTTCTTGAATCTTGTGGATATTTTCCTCAGCTAATTTGGCTTTCATGTGAAGCAATGCTTGTTGCTGGTCTGCAGTGATGTAATCTAGTTGACGTCTTCCATCTGATAGCAACTTGATGATCCTAGCTTCATGAGTTAAAAGGTGAAGAGAGTTTGGTAGTTTGGCACCTCCGACTCTTCCAAGTGCATTTTCAAACAATTCTGGCATCACTGAATTCAAGAAATGAGATTCCGAGATCCAAAAGAAAACTTTT